GCATAGAAATGTCATTATATCAAAAGGCAGGGTGACAGCAGATTATTCCCCCCAGGGGTCGACGTAGAGAACTCTGCGAAGCTACTGGCTATGATCTGTACCTAGGCAGTCTCGGCCACGGGGGTATAAAATTTATGAACTTGGTGGTTCTGAAGGCTCTGGCCACTTATTGGCCGGTCCCGGAGTCTGGCACGTCCTAGCGCGGCGTGGTACTAGTAACCCGGGGGTCTCCCCCGGGGTCGCTGGGTAATGTCCCGCTGCGACGGGCTCGCCCAAGCGACTGGTAGGAGCATTAGACGACCGGTGCTGCCTGGGGCTTGCTCCAGGTGGTGCGCTGCTCTCCTGAGGGGTAATAGTGGAGGTTGAACCACCACGAGGTGCCCTAAGGGGGAGGGGACCCGCAGTGGAATTAATTTCTCGGAACGGGGAATGCCTAAAACTTCTTCTTCTTCTGACAGCAGATTATAATTAACTCAAATTTATTCTGTTACTGAGTAAAAATACTGTGATCTATGACTTCGAGCTATAATGCTGGTTCAATATTTAATCTGTGATACAAATACTTTTAAATTTACAGAATTTTGCTCCGAAATTTACGAAATTATTTATAGCAATAAATTTTGTACTTATTATATCTGTGACAAAATAATTTTCGCTTAATATCTCAATGAAATCATGTTCGCTTTGTAAGAGTGAACTTTGGCTGTTCGAGAAATGCTCGGTTGTATGTTTACGGGTTGCAGCCGAAAACATCGCAAACGAAAACGTCATGGAGAAAACAACGCAAGGCGAAAACGACGTGGTACAAAACATCGTGGGAGAAATAAAGCAAAGAGAAAACATCTCAGTTCCTAAAACATCGTGGTACAAAATATCGTGGTCGAAAATAAAGCGGTTCAAAAACTTCACAGTTTAAAAACATCGTCGTTGAAAATATCGTGGTAAAAAATAAAGTACCTACAAATAATCGCATGACGATAACATTGCACACATGCGTTTTTCAGGTTTTAAAAGCTGTAAATGCATATTCGCGTAATGATTTGGGAGCGCAAGAAACAAAGAGGGATATTTTTACTATATAAGCAAAGAGGGATATTTCATATTTTTATGAACTAATAATTTTTTGCTGAAAAAGTAAGAAGGAAGCTTAAGCATTTAAAAATTGAATGAAGTAGAAATAATAAATGAATAAATGAGTAGAAAATCAATGCAATATATAGCGCTTAATAGAATTTTAAATTTACATAGTTTATTAACAAAGTTCATTTGATAAATCAATGACCTCTTAAGCAGATAGCCCTAGTGTGCTTTGGCATAATCCAACAAATCCATATCCCAAACTGACATATTATGTACCTGACTTTCGTTATAACTAATAAATGAACATTCAAATAATTGATTGCACGCTATATATGAAAATGTTAACGACACTTTAAGAATAAATGGAATCAAAACAAAATATAATTTTCACTAAAACAATATCAGATTAACAAACGTGAAAAAAAAATAACTTGATAATTAACTAAGCAATTTCTATAGAGGCATTTAGCTTCTTTTTGTCTTCCTTTTTCTAAACAATTTTAGACTGTATTTTTCATAAAAAATTATGAGTAAAAATTTTATAAAAAAAGATTAATTTATTAATGACCTTTATGAATTAACTACGTAAATTTTAAATTCTGTTAAGTGCATTTGAGGTAGTTTGATGGCGTAATATGTATGCTGTATTTACATTACTAATAACTGAAATTATAAACTTGTTATAAGTTGCATTAATTTTTTACTCATTTTCAGTTTTTAAATGTCTAAATTTCCTTCTTATATTTTTCTGCAAAAATTTATTAGTTCATTCAAAAATATGAAATATAGAAGTAAAAATATCCTTCTTTCCTTCTTGCGCTCCCAAATCATTAAGGAAAATTTACAACTTTTACAAAACCAAACAATCTGCAAAACCTGTAAAACGCATGTGTGTGATGTTACCCTTATGCGATGATTTGTAGTTACTTTATTTTTTACCGCGATATTTTCGACGACGATGTTTTTAAACTGCGAAGTTTTTGAACCGTTTTATTTTCGACCACGATATTTTATACTATGACGTTTTCGTCTTGCGTTGTTTCTCCGCGACGTTTTCCTCCGCAATGTTTTCGGCTGACACCATGTTTACGAGTAACTTTTTAACAGAAGGAACAACGTACATCAATAAATTATGTGAAAAAAAAGACTGAAATACTTTCTATATTTATTCGCAGTGTGTTTATAATTGCTGGAAACTAGAGTGCATTAGATTCTATATCTGAATAAGGTTTTCTCCCGCCTCCACTTCACCTAATATTAATAATGTTACGTAACAGGGTATTGCTAATCTTTGAATAGAAAATTTATTTCATTAATTTACAGAAATATTGAGGATGTGAAACATCAGTTTGTGCTGACTTTCAATTTCAGGTAGTTTGATGCCGTAATATGTATGCTGTATTCACATTACTAATAGCTGAAATTATAAATTTAATCCTGTTCTCATAAGTTTAGGAAACATGTATAGCTGAATAACAAATATAAATGAAAGTTACATATTTCTGAGTGTATATTACATTTCTTTCATCGAAGTTACATTAAATAATAATTGATATAAATATTATATCTAATGGACCTTTCATAATACTTACATCATAAGCTAATAAGTCCTGTTAATATATAATCTATAAAATGAAACAATGTGCTGTAAATAGCAATACCATTCAAGAAATATTGGTTTCTTCCACACGGTGTTTTTCAACACGTGTAGCGTAAATTCGAACCAAATTCTCTTGGAAAGTTTCCCATACAGACATCTCTCCTCTTAGGCAGATAGATATCTCTAGTTTATGTCGCCATAAAGTACTAATCTAAGAAATAGATAATTGGCGTATTTAGATAGACTATCGAAGTTCAGTAAATCCTTAGGTAACAGAAGATAAGGTTTATTGTATATAAAATGAGACAAGTACTAATATTGGCCCACGAGTTTTAAGACTTGAAAAATAAGTAATGCTTAGAAGATAATAAAGTAACAGTTGATTAAATTAAATCTTTATCTAGTGTCTCATAGAAACGTAATATCAGTAGCTTGTGAGTTTTCGAGGTGGAAGCATGTTTTCCAGAAGCGATCAAACAAACGGTCTTTCATTCTTGCTGCATTTCTTAAGAGGAAAATGTTAGATAAATATTATTTTTTCTTTATACGCATGTATAATTTTATACTAAAATGTCATATTTCTATTTAAATGTGTACAGAATATTTGTACATTACGTTCAAAACGCATAAAATGAATAATTCATTAATGTTAATGAAAGGCACACTTCTAGATCATTATTTTCGAATTGCTCTTGTAATTCGAAACCCACAAATAGAACAATCTAAAATACATTCTTAGTTTGAGTTATAAGATTTGATATTTAATTTATGTTCTAATAAATCTTTCTGTGCAGTTCCTGTTCCAGTGTGTGTTGCTACCTGACCCATAAATAGAACAATCTAAAATACATTCTTAGTTTGAGTTATAAGATTTAATATTTAATTTATGTTCTAATAAATCTTTCTGTGCAGTTCGTTCAGATTCAACAACCAAAATCCAAGGTAAGCCACACTGCCCACTACTGTTAACTTATTTTCTCTTCTAAGCTTTAGTCTGTCTGCCATATTTGTTTTATTTTACTCTAGAAGACTGGATGAAAGAAAGGAATTAATTACTCAAAAAAAAAAAAAAAAATCACAAATTTACAGTAATGGAAGTTTAGAAAGATATTAGTGTACATTTAGTAAAGAAGTAATAAATTACCAGAAAACTTTTGAAAAAGAAGCTAAAAGAAGAAAAAATAACCGGGCAAAACCCCATGAACTTGTTTTTTACGCATTATCATATTAGAGAACTTAGATTCTGTCAACATTGAAATATTCGAAAATTTATCATCTTACCATAAAATAGAGCTTTTCCATGTTTCCTGGTCAGAAGAAGAAACTGAAAGAAGAGGAAGAAATAGAAGATAATGTAACAACGTGTTTAAGGACTGAAAAGAACTAAATGTAAGGACTTTACTTATCCTGAAAAATGAAGCTTTTTATATAAATATTCCAGAAGGTTTTATGATTGTATTGCAACCGCCACTAGATATAGAAGATGGAAGCCTAATTTACAATTTTTACTGCCTATAAATGAAGAACTGTCAATAAAATAAGAAAATCACGCAATTCTGAAAATTTTTCATAACTACTTTTTTTATATAGCCAATTGGTCTTTTAGCTATTTTAAATATTTTAGTAATTACATTACTGGCAACATATATATATGGAAAAATGAAAATTTTAACTTTCCAAATGTAATATATTCTAGTTGCATACATCACTTGAGGGCAGAGTGATGCAAGTACGCCAGAAATTTATACCCATTACTGAACCACAGAGAATATTATGACTGAAATTATTTTTGATAATTTTGAATACTTTTTTGCGATTTGATGTGATAATTATGAAGAAGAAAGGCTTAGAAAGTGATAAAAAATATATTTATTCTAGAATTCTCTAGAGTGTTGATAATAATTGATTAAATGACTTTCTTAAGCGGACCGTTACTGATACTTTTACTGTAACTGTATAACTCTTTTTCCATGGCTACAAATACACATGTTGTACTGCCAGCTTATGCAATTATCTTATTAATTATCATTTTAAGAAATACTTCAGGGTAACTGTTATATTAACGAAAGTGTAATAGTTTTTCCATTTATTAATATTCTGAGATGAATGATCTGCATTGTAAAAATATTTAAAAATTCATTTATTTCTATTTAGTATTTCTGGTTATCTTTTCTATCGATGAGTGATATAGCGAATTACTTGAAAGTTTAAATATTATAGTTAATTAAACTACTATTAATACTATGCTAGTAATTTAAAATTTTATATTTGAAGACATTTTTTATTTACACATTTTATTCTGTTTCCTGTTTTTATATAGATTACAGGAAAAAATAAACGTTGTCTAGAAATATGTTTACACGTCCAGTTCTCCTCATCATATCCATGCCTGTAATCCTGCCGCTCTGCTTCGCCTTGCCTACGAAGGTAGTCACTGATGTCACTTTTACAGACAAAGCATGGATTTCCAACCATGAGAACTCGATAGAAAGGATACAAAACCGCCAAACTGCATCTAATTTTGGTGTAAGTGGGCCAGTTGCTGCAAGTTTAGCCTTCGTTGGACTAAATTTAGCTTTCATTTCTCTCCTTGTTCCTTTTGTGGTAACCGCTGTCGCTGTTAGTGAGAAGAGAAGCTCTGATGATAGTCTAGAATCGTTACAGACTAAGTGGCGAAATATGCGTCACCTATACAGATCGGAGAATCATGATGCTGATCATTCTTCAAGGTGAGAAGCTCTTTTCCTCATGCTGTATGGTATTTACCTAGCGGTATCAAGTATGCCAATATTTTATTAGCTTTTAAATCTAATTGGAAGTTACTCTTCCCATTCTTACATTAAGATACTGTGAAAATAAATTTCACTGTTTTAAATTTTCAACAGATTTTTTTAACTAAGTTCAATAAAACGCAAACTCATACCCATTTAATTCATGGTTGAAAATTTCTGCCAGCGAAAAAACGGAAAGTGTTTCAAACTCACCTTCCATTCATTCATTTTCATTATTAGTATATCTTTAATGATTTTTCTTTACAATACTTTACAGCTAATTAATATACTTACATTCGCATTTTCGGGATAAACACAAGAATTATTAATGCATGAAATATTTTTATAATTAAGAGACGGATATAGTGCAACGTACTTACAAGTTACTTATGTAGCGTGGCAGCTTCATTTTTAGTTTTTGTAAGTGATTGCTTAAGACAAAGCTACAAGAAAAAGATCTACAAATTATAAAAATTAATAGAAGAAACAAACTTAGAGGAGAGGAGAACTGAATTTATCACAGAACCCTTACAGTCTCGAAAAACTTTTACGTTTCTGTTTCATAACGAAACGTTTAAATTATTGTTCAAGTGACTCAAGGATTATTTCGTATTGAAATAATGGAAAAATTAAACTTCATTAAAATGCGCTGTCTGAAAAATGAAATTATCTAAAACACAATAACGTGTAGTCTCACTTTCTTTGGTAGCATAAACTAATGAGCTCTAGCAAGACTACAGAGGAATAATCCTCTTGTCTTAAACTGTAGACAGACAAAGTCAGAAGAAGGGTGTAAATAGCCCTTCTAGTTGAACACAAGGAAATAATAATGATTCAACTTGGGTTTACACAAGCTAAACTTTTCTGGCTTAACTTAAGCACGTAAAGTTGAACTACTATCAAATGTAATAGGTTAGCCCAACGGCTCGCAGGATAAAAGTAACTCGCAGGAAAGGCCCTGGCTTGTAGAAAACCGGCGAGACAAGGAAAATGGATAGAAGCACTCCACGCCACATAATCAAATCACCAACAGTCACCGTACAACGTGGCCTGGAATAGGCAGAACAAGCTCTAAAAATAACTTGCATAACCCTCGTTTAAATAGCACTTCTCTCTTCCAGAATCTGAATAAACACTCGCTATCTCATTTATATATTTCTGACATGAAAAGCATGGGTGAAAAGAGAGTGACAGAAAAGCACTAAAACTTCAAATTAACTATTAGTTAAAAATAAATAGATAAAACTCACAAACGTATTTTAAAATTTTACTATTTGCCGAAAAGGACAATGTACAGAAAATCTTTCATTACCCCAGAATGCTATGTAGTATATAGTATTCATATAGTTTTAGTTACAAAGTGATGGATGAAATTTCAAAATTTGTTTAAACGAAATATTGGTCTGAATATTAAAACTGCAAATTGTATTTACTTAAAATCATATGGCATTTATTTGCATGCAAAATACGCTGAAGCTTTGTTAAACAAAGCAAAATACTTTGAAAAAAATATTCCATAAAGGAAACGTTAATCTTACCCCAAATCTAAAGTTTTCTAATAAAAGTTTTCTCTTTTCATATTATAGACTGCTCAATTTTGTTTTTTGCTATAACTTATTTTCATGTTACTATAAATAATATAATTCGTTTAGTGTTTAGTACGAACGAGGTTTGTTCGGATCAATGCATTTTTTGAATGTCATACTTCAGTATTTTAATTAGCTTTTGTTATTAAGTTTGTTATGTTTGTCACAACTAAATTCATCAGATGAAAAATAGGTGAATATACATAATTTATAAAATATATGTGTTCTGACATATTCATGATTATATTTAGTGCTGTTTATTCCTAACGTAAGATTTTCTAATATAGTAATACATATCTTAATTATACATAAAGTCTCTAAAAGTTTTAACTCATTTATATGTGAGCTGAATTTAAGAAAACCTGAGTAAATTAAAAAAAAATTCGCCTTGAAAGAAAATATTGTATTTTTCTAGCCTGTTTTGCATTACAATATAGAATAAAGATTGACAGTGTTTACTCTTCATGTTTAAATTCTATCTATGATATAATCTGATGAACAATAGATAGGGCTGATGACACTTTATCTTATCTTTAATTACAAAGGATTATTTTAGTTGTCCTTCTTTCTAATTTTATCTAAGATATCTGATCTCATTTAGGAATCTGGCTTTACAATAATGTTTGTTTTACGGCAAACACTGTAACGAAAAATGCATTTGTAAACACACATTTTTACTATATTTATATGCATATATAATACATGCGTATGTGTATGTGTGTGTGTGTGTGTAGTGACATAAATTTTAGAGAAATAGTCATTCATTCTAAAGATATGTCGAAATATATTGTGCTCATAACGTTTATTTCTTGCCTCCTAGCTCACAATTTCAATAAAAAAGACTATAATTTAGCTTATAATTAATAATTTTGTAGTACGTAGTGTAGTTACTGAATCTGAACTTTATCATAACTTTCCAAATTATTACATTTTCTAGAAAACTACGTAGTTCAAAGAACGCCTTTGTTGCTTTAGGAGCTTCTTCTTTGTAAGCCACTTTTTAAGATACATTTCAAAATACCTACTGCACTTTAAAAATATGATATTTAAAAATGCAAAGTAAAAAATTCGAAATTTTGACGGAAGAGGAGCATATGCAAATTATTTATTTTTATGTTTTAAATGCACATTATTCTTGCCATAATCAGAAAGTTTACTGAGCTAGTAAAGGGTTATCAGATGTCAATAAAATAGTCTTATTTTTAATTTATAGAGCATTTTCGAAGAATCAGGATTTCTTAATCTGCAGCATTGTTTTAAAATACTTCTTGACATTATGAGCAAATGTGAAGAAAAAATTAAACTTTTAAAGAGCTTGTTTTTCCTTCAAAAACATGTTTCCAATCCGAGATATTTGAATTTTGCTTTGTGCATAATGAAAACAGGTTGTTTTAATTAACATTTAATGTATGCTATTTTAATTAATATCTAAAACAAATTCTAATGGCCCATATAAAATACTTTAAATGAAATGTGAATTTTATAAGAAAAATTCCATACTACATAGTTGCATAATTCTTCTCTAATAAAATCCTGGATGATAAAAAATTTTATAGTATTTCTTTTATTTGATAAATGAATTCTAAATAAAAATTGTCGGTTTTTAAATTAAAAGGAAAAAAGAAATAATAAATTAAAAGAATTAAAAGGGAGAAATAAACACAAAATTGCTACACTGAAAATCTTACTATGTTAGTTCTGCCGTAGGGATCATTACTGTTACAAGACCGTCCTGCTCTTGTTTGAAAAATAAAATCAGTGATGCCAATTAATGAGTTGAACAATATTGTTTATAAAATATGGTTGATAGCATCGCTATTATTTCATTCTTATTGTAGCATCTGTTATCCAATAACATGTATAACATTTTTTTGCTGCTTAATTCTGTAATCTGTTTAAAAAAATATATGTATGTATAATTATGATTTCTTAAAAATATTGCAGTACTTTAGCCCAAATATTAACTACATATTTCTTTCTTCAGCGGTAAATTTAGAAAGTAGTTTTTTTTCAGTGTTTTGTAATTTTTGCATTGAATATTAAAAATCATGCGATATTTTTCTGCTTTCATAATGAATTATTGTTAGTTTACAAAACAGAATGTTTCCTATACTATCTTGTTTCTGTGGAGCTATTAACAATAAAAAATGAAAGATTCATTATTCTGCTTCTGGTCTGATGTCCTTTTTATGCTCTGTCTCGTATCTTTTTTATGCTACCAAGCATTTTCAACATCCAGATGCTTTCATAACTGTATGTTCTTATTGTTTTCATTATATCTGATATTTTCCCTCATTAAATAATGTTAAGCTGGAAGTTATTTTTGGATTTATTGTTCAATATTTGTTTTATTCGAAAGTGAAAAAATAGGCACAAAATGGAAATTGTAGCATAATTATATTTACTTGTATAATACTATTGTCTGAAACTAAAGAATTAAAAAAATACTTTCTTTCAACTCAATTTATTAATATTTAAATTAAATTAACATATCTTTCTTTATTTCAGATTTTCCAAAAAGGATGATGAACGAAGAACAATAAATCGAATTAAACCTGCAAACCCGTAACAAACGCGAATGCCGAAGATATTTACAAAATGATAACTATAATTCAACTGTGATTTCCCATTTTAAATGCCCCTGAGAATATGTAATTACGTAAGCTTTTTAATTATGTACCACATGAGTAATAAATGTAAGTTATTTTTTCCGTATTATGACTTTTTTCCTCTTAGATCAACTACAAATTAAACCACAAAGGAAACATTATGAATTAACTCGTTGTTTATAATTCTTTGCTCTAACGTACGCCATCTGAAAATGCTCGAAAGTATGCATACGCATGCCATCTTCATTAAAATAAAACCTTCTCTCCTTTTTGCCCAATCGTCAATACTTTTATCAATATAAGCATAAGTATATTGATTTTAATCTAAATCTGAAGTGCTCATAATATTGAAAATGAGTTAAATAAAATTAAAATTAATCCTAAGAAACGTGTAATACATCGTGTTATTTACTTCTCGATCAAAAAATACATGTACAAAAATACATGGAAGAACTTCCATTTGTATCAAGTGAAAACTCATGTAAATGTAACAGCTTCAAAGAAATATGTGTTCATCTAATAAGTCTATTTAATTTCATTTTAAAAATAAAATCACTTGGATTTTCATATGATATTAATTTCGATTTCTGGAAAAAGAATCGTTGAACGCATAGAAAACATATTATATTTCTAAAATACAAATTCTACGGTCTAAAGTTATAACCCTGTGTTGAAGCTCTTTTATTAGCTAGCTTTATCTGAATCTTTAGTCTATGGAATTTCAATTAAAATTTCAATCAAATTGTAACTGAAATGGTATAATAAATACGTTATAATTAATGTTGTACTTAGATTTAATTCAGTAATATAATATCTATGCTTTTTCGTAGCATTTATATAATGTAAATTATCATGCTGTTTTTCCATCTAATAATAGATAGCATGACTATAATATATTGTACAGAATTTGAATTCCCGTACATATTCGTATACTTAAAAATATAAGAATAAAATTTTAATTTAAGACATTAAAATGTTGCAAGGAATTTCGACATCTTTATTTCTGATTTGTGCTTATTTATTTAAGGGTACTCTGAATTAATTTTTGTCTAAAAGAGCCTCTGATATAGTAAATTTTATCAGCTATCTATTCATTATAATTCATAACAATGTTAGACTGAGAAATTCTACGAAAGTACACAGGAGAACAATCTGTACACCGAGCTTACAACAATCTGTACACCGAGCTACGAAAGTTTATTCATTATTTTAATTAGTCAATTAGTTGAAATCGAATTAATTAAAAACTAAGGGAAAATAAGAATTATTTGCTTAAGTTGAAATAAAGCTTTAGTGAAAAAAATCACTTTTAGTGTTGTTTATCGCATTTATCGGCGCATTAAAACTCATCAACAAAATATGTTATTCCTTGTAAGAAGACTTAATTCAAAACATTTTTCCTATTTATTGGATATGGCGAGATAATTAGTTAAAGAAGTCGTTCAGCTGAAGCTTAATTCTTATCGAGCTTCTGGAGAATTTAAATAATCATTATAAAAAATTACACATTTTCTTCATTTACCTTTGATTGCTGATAATGTAGATACAAGTCTCTTAAATGTTGATGTTTTGTTTAAGTAATTGCTTAACATAAACACTGGACTAAAAAAGAAAATTTTGTTTATAATTTAACAAAAAATACGATAATTCAGCCTACATTAATTTATTGAAACTGCACAAGAATCACAAACAGAGAAAAATTTTCTGTATAAATAAGAGTATGTTGGTTTCAGAAAATGCCATTTGAAGGAACACAAAATGGGAAATGAGAATAATAAATATCATGATTAAGGAACAATGCAACTAAAGGTGTTTGAAGTGGGTAAGTGCTACATTTCAACTTCAATTTCGTTCTCGACTTCATTTTCTTTGGCGCTGAAATAATACGATAAGTGATGAGGGCAGCCAGTGTATAGTTGAGCGCAGTCATCACCTCTTGTTCCTGCTTGAGCTGCATCTGCGTAGTTTGAGAAAAGGAATCTTGAAACAGGAAGAATTTCCCTGCTTTGGAGTTCTTTTTGTTTCCTGAAAAAGTTCAAAGTTGAAAGTTTTGGAAAAAAAATCGAGTCTATTTAAAATGTTCTAATCTTATTTCTGATTTTTGGTTGAAAATTTTAACTATTTATTATTATGCCGATACTTATGATATCATATTTATGATTTATGATTATGCCGATTATTTATGTTAATGCCGATACACAATCAAAGTAATATGCTGTAACAAAATGTTATTAAAAAAACCATCAAAACTATAAAACGGATCCGCCATATATCAGAATAAAATAGTAACTGAAAGCTGAAACACAGCGAAATGTATTTAAGTATTACGAACAATGGTTAAATATCAAATTTATTATGAAAACTGTGAGACCATTCTCTTAAAAGATAAAAAGACAAAAATTTACGGCATAAAACATCAAGGAAAGTTTAGAGTGCATAGCACCTTAGAAGGAAAAAATTCCTTTTGCAGAACTAAATTTCGTGCCATTTAGTCGGCGAATACGCGCTTGTAATGTAATGTCTTGAAATAGAATTCCATATCGTTATGGTAGGCAAAGTTCTAATGAATTCATAATGAAGCGTAATTTTGAAGTCGCAGATATCTGGAAAATAAGTGCGACTGATATTCTGACGAATGATCTGATATTCTGATGAATTCATAATGAATTCTGAAATCGCAGATATTTGGGAAATAAGATAGTTGGGATTATTGGAAAGAAAGCTGTAAATTCTTTCAAGAAATTTCCAACTTTCCCTCAAAGCAGACACCTAAGGGACTTTTATCAGAAAATTTTTAAAATCCTACAATTGAATAAAGGAAGCCCAATGAAAGAAGAATGCGAAAGTGCTCTCTCACCAGACGTGTTCAGCATTTTGTTGTTAAAGGAACACCCATCTTTCGACATTCTCATTCACCTTCGACATTTTGCGATGCTTGTGAGTGATACAACACGTTGTTCAACTGTGACAGCGCAATTCAAATATGAGCACTGCCACAGCTGAAAAACGGGCTGTTTTCACCATGCCAGTAACCAGATTTTGAAGTCTTGATTGATTTGAAGATTTGATTTGAAGCTCTTGATTGATTAGTCAAGTGTCAATAAAATTCACTAGTAAGAATTCAGAATTCGGTGATAGAACAGTTCACAGCAGTTGTATTTTATTTTCCAGTATTTCCCTAACAGTAGTTGTATAACCAATATTTCTCTAACAGCAGTTGAAAATGCTTCTTGCTTATCGCAATTTGTACTGGAAAATGGAACTTTTTTAATAGATTGTTTTACATTACCAAAGAATGCTAATTCCAATTTTTTTTAACATCGCATAGTCACAGTTGTGACTTAAAGTCAGCTATAATTCACATAAATGCTTTAAAGAAAGACAGGAAGAGAAGAGAAATAAAAAAGCTAAAACAAAACAAAATAATACAACAATGCACCAATAATAAATAATCATGTATAATAATTAAAAATAATTGTAATTTGATTATTCATTTTAATAAGTAAGTTCATTTACATGTCACAACAGAAAACTTTAAAAGATTTTACGACCCAGTGTAAACTGTTTCACAACTCACTGCTGTGTCGCGACCATGGAAGTAAGAGAGAAACTTGTTTACTCAGTTTCTTAACTCCATGGTCGCGATCCCGCTTAAGCACTCTGCAGAGGCTTAGCCTGTCGCAAATCATCTTCATATTAGGTCTTTATCCTTAAATAAAAACAGCAGCCTTTATCCTTAAATAAAAACAAAACTATCTCTTCTGGATACCAGCATTTTGTGCAAGTATCTAACAGTTACTCTTCCTCACACTGTTACACTCATGATGTGCTCGCTATGTGCTTATCATAGCCTCACTACGGTTATTGAGTCCTTTGAATGTATGAAAACATTGCTTTGATTCCCATCTCATAACTTTGAACTCATACTCAGCTTTTATTGTCTAGCTTACGTATCATTAGCAATCATACTTTCTTTAAATTTCTGTGAAACAGTTTTCCGTCAAAAGCAATTGATTTGTTTATTAAAAAAAGCGTTTTCTGTTCAGTGGTTCATTCAAAGATTTTTTTTCAAACGAATTCCTTAAATTTTGTACGTTTATGTTAAACTTCTATTTTTGTATTAAATAATCAAGCCCACAACATACTTATTTTCTTAAATGTAATTGAATGAAAATCAACTTTTCATTGGTTTTACACTAAGGATATTCTACTATAAGATCAATACAATTAATTAGATGTGCCGGACAAAAGTAGCTTCGGACAGAAAGCGTATCTCTTAGCATTTCATACAGGACTAACGGTAGATAAACGGGTCACTTAAATTAACTTTTTGACACATCTGGCGCCCGACTGAGCCTAATGCCCAAGATCGTCGTTTGTATAGTTCTTCTGGCGCTGACCCAGAGATGATTATAACCATAGATCTAGGAATTATTTTGGCACAGTTCTAGGGAGTTACGGGAATTTTTAGATGAGTGTCTGGATTTCTATTGTATTGCCTTAACTTAAATATAGCTAAAATTTTGAATAAAAAGGTACTAAATATTGTTTTCATATTCTCATATATATTGTTTCATAATCTTGTATTTTAACTCAAGCATTTCATTTTCACTTTGAAACAATTTTAAGTCATTTAATGAAAGCAGATTTGTTCAAGTTTTTAAAATTGCAATTCACGTAAATCTGTCTGATTAGTAATTTTCGAAAAATAGTCTCTAAAGAAACTTATCTGATACTTATTAATTTGGGAAAAACATAAAAAAACCTTATTAGACATTTTATTTCATCTCAGAATTGATGTCGACAAAAGATACTTTCCAACTTATGGCGTTTAAGGATTTTATGATGTTAATTATGGTAATTACATCCAAAATTAAGAATTAATTATTTGTATAAACGACTTATATATCAAAAGAATGTTTTCTAAATGTGATATTTATGAAGATGGATATAGTTTTGCCAGCAAAACAATTTCCGAAAGGAAAAAAAAGTTTTATAGTTAAATACAAATTACCTCATTAAATCCAGGATAGTCTGAGCCCAAGCGCCCAATCTTGGAACTTTATGATGAGCTTCACATACTGCTCTAAGACGACATTCAGCCTGATATAGATCATATTTCTCGAAGGCTCTTTCGAGTTGCTCCATAACATCCCATAAAGTTTTGGCATATTCAACTGCTCCGGCTGCCTTTTCTTTTAAGCTCCTTCTGTTTCGTTTCGATGAAGACTTTGAAGAACTCGAAGAACCGAAGCCCAAGAAGTTGGCGATTGAAGAAGAGCCAACAGTTAGAAGTCCGAGGATGGGTAAACCTATCATACTCATCATGACAATGTCTCCAAGTATTTCCATACCACCTCCTAGCTGACGGCGGATCATATTAAAGCCAGACGGGGGAGGAAACATTGGCTGATACATCTGAGGGAATTGCCGGCCAGTAACATAACCATGTTGTAGCACTTGAGGATCTTGCGACTGTTCTTCAGAAACGTGGGCTGACTCAGGTTTGTGCTCTGGTTGCATTTCTTGTTGGGGTTCAGGTTTATGTTCCGGCTGACTTTCATGCTGCTTCTCTGGCTGGCTTTTAGGCTGATTTTCATGTAATTGCTCAGCCGCTTCTACAGGGATTTTTTCAGTCTTTTTGTCATCCTTAGGCTCTTCATGATGATCCGGTTTAGGCTCAGCTACGTTCTGTGGATGAACTTCTTTCTGATCTTTTACACTTTGAGCGGCTGAAGAGTGCAATACCACTAGGAATAGAAGAAATGCCACTGTCGTTTTGAGCGGCTCCATTGCTATCTGAAATTTAAAATTTAGTTGAAAAGTTAAAATAGCTTAGCTGTAGAAACGAAAAATACAGCTTACAGATGATGATGTCTTGAGAAAATTTAAGAGCCTCTTTTATAGGTTTAGGAAAAGGGTACAGTTCATTAAAAAAATAACCAAAAAGTTTAATAATAGAGCATGTAATAAAAGTAGAAAATGTATTGATGCAATTTACGAAGATTATGAATTTGCTAATTTATTCAAAATTTATTTTCTAAACTACACTATAAATCAACTGTATAGTATTTTTGTCTTAAATATTCTCTTTTTTACATTTATTAAGCTACATAATTTGCTCTTCTTAAGTAACTATGATGAACAATAATACAAAATACACCTTTAATTTTTAAAACTTTAGCATCTAATATGAAATTTAATTTATTAATAACATAGCATATTTTAAATCATTTAAAAATTTAACCAATTTCAGTTCCAGTGATGTTTTACAAATTCGTATTTCACCAGGCATCTATCTATATGCGCAATACGAAAACGCTAGCTGTCACAACCTCAATTTTATCTTTAATAAACATACGGAGCTCTATGGTACTGTTAATAATAACATATAGAATTATGTATGATATATATTGAATAGAATTTAGTTGAACCTATGAACCAACAAAGCAGAAATTACTACTGAATTATTCAATTTAAAGTAAATTCAAATGAATATTTTACTTTGAGCATATGCAGATCTATTTATGTAATTAATCACATATGAGAAAATTTCATGCACGATGTAATCAGAAAATAATTATAACATTTTTCTACGAAGCATCACTTTAAAAGAAATGATAGTTTATGAAAATATTTCAGACAATTCTAGCATTTTTGAAATTATGAGGAATGATTACCAGAAATATAAGGGATTTGTGTTTTTTACTTAAAAAAATTAATTCAGCTGTTTTATACATTTAGGGTAAAATATATTCATAAACATAAATAAATTATGAACAACAATCTATTTAGATAGCACTTCTGGGTCACATGGAATAAATAGTTCTTACCGAAAAATAGGGTGTCTATAAGAGTTCTGTAATACCATTATTTACTAAAACCACCAGAGCTAGTAATTTCCTTTCAAGATTATTTTCGGTTGTTGCACGTCTTGATAATATTTAATGTCTTTAAGCTTGTCGTTTCAATTATGTGTATCACTGCGTCCTCCAATGTTAACATATTTTTCAGCCTACCAGCGGTCGCTGAGAACTGGTAGTTCGGTCTGAGGTTCGAATCCCGCGGACGGGCTGGCTGCATGGGCGTTTTCGTGGTATTCCCCATGTGTAACGTGTATACTAGCCAGTTTTCCTTAAAAAATCCTCCTCGAAGGCATCTCTTCCCTTAGGCAGATAACCCTTGAAGCTTTACCGTAGTCACATAAGCCAAAAGATATATTTTTCATAAGTTTTCCATTAGACTTTATTTAGAACTCTTATACTATAGGTTATTTCACTAGTTTGCTTTTTTAACATTTCATGCATATTTTATTTATATTTTGAGTTCTAATTCTGTTTCGTTTAAATAAGCACTTGTTAATGATGAGTTCCCAGTTTTTTAACAGAACATAGCATTAGTGCAAGAATTTAATGCGATTTTTTTCCTTATATTTTTTCGTTTCATTCTTATTTAGTTGTATTAAGCTCATGATGTTTCTTCTGAATGTTCAATGAACTACAGTCGCTTTGTTTCCGAGTCTAGATGAAATTCTTATTCGAAAATTATACACTGAAGATTAAAATGAAATTTCAAAATTTCTAGTTCCCTTAAGAACAGATTCCAAACATTGAAAGAAAACCTAATTCATCACATACAGATAAGTGAATATAAAGTACATAAAAGTAAACTCTTTCATTACATAAATGCAACCATAAAAAAGAAGATAAAGAATAAATTTTCTTAGTTTTTATATGAAGAATCAGTAGGCATTTTTAATGTTTTTTTCAGACAATAGCTATATTGTTGATTTTAGCTTTAATGTTGTGCTCTTGGTATTGATTAAATGAAATACTTCTTTGTTCTTGCTATTTTTCTTGCTTTTAATTGCCTCTGCTTTTTTCTAAGGAAAAAAAAAAAAAAAAAAAAAAAACAGCAGCATAGCCCCCTCCAAACTAAAAGGAAGATTGCGTTGTGGATAATAAACGAAACTGCATTGGAATAACAAGAATGAAGACCTTAAATTAAATTAAGTAGCGCGATAGGTAAAGCTAGGTAAATCTATTCTAATCACTGCAAAGTTTATTTCTTAGTAAACGGCTCTTAACTGTTTTTGTTGCTCCTGAGCAGCAAAAGGAGCAGATCTAACGAACCAATTTGGAATTAAGTAACCATCTCGTGTCTGTGTGGACACTTTCAGGTGTTGTTTAATCAATTAGAACTAAAATGATTACGCCGAGCAGTAATCTACTGAGGCGTTATGGACTGCGCGGGAAACTGGAATTATCGGAATAGGTGTTAATTGAAGAGGAAATTCGCAGTTAGACAGATGCTGCACACGGAATAAAGAAATGCAGACAGTGTTTGATTTCCGCTGAAGTAGTTCTTGGTTCTTTTGTGTTCAATGAGAGGAAGATATTCTTAATTTGGTAATTGCATTTGATAATGATCCTGCAATAGAACCTATAAAACTAGTGTTATTTGTTTAAAACTAATAATATCAAAAAGAAATTAATCACTAAGAGCTGCAAAATAATTTTTTTTTCTTGTTAATGCAACTGGTAAACAATCTGGTTAAATTAATGCAGATTTATTCCTATTTCTATGACGCTAAAAGATATCATCAGTATTTACTCACTAAATTTAATAATAGTTTGAACTTTTGTACAGATTTTGAACCTTAAAAAGTATATAATAATTTTTTAATGAAAATTTAATACATGTATATCAACAGAAATTTCATAATCAGAAATATGAAAATTTTCCAAGTGTAAATTAAAGTAAATTTCTTTTCAAACATTTGAATTACTTCTCATTATGCGAAATATTATTTGAATATTTTCTGTCCCTTACATTGAAAATAAAATTCAAATTCAAAATACTAAGTCACTATTAATACTTAGGTTAAATAAAAAATACGCTTTAAGTCTTTTCGTTATTAATAGCGTTCTAAGTTAGGCAGAATTCTTTACACAAAAATATGTTTACATAGTTAATTACAGAAATTACAGAAGTGTAGAAGAAATTTTATATTTACTAGTATTCTGGAATTTAAACAGTGCTAAGTGCATCATAAAAATTTTTGACTATTCAATAATAAAAAATACCCAGTGATAAGTACCGATGAATATAGCTCAATGAAAATAAATAAAAGGAAAGGAAAAAAATTGCTGTTTAAAGCAGTGAGATGTATTTTGGATTTTCGCAAAATACACATAACATTTAAAAAAAAAATAATACCAGTCAAAGCTTGGCTTTCACCTAATTTTAAATTTAAAATCAATGTACTTCCTTTAAACCTACACATTACCCCATTTTCTAATTTACCACAGTTTGAAAGTTAGTAATGCCCTTAAATGACTTTCAAAGCTTGAAAAAATGAGCGACAGAATTTACAAAAAACCAATATCTAAGATTCAAGCAAGTTGCCTTACTGTACAGTTTATAAACTTCCCACAGCTTAATGTGTTATATACATTTAGCGAAAACATGCAATTACGAATTAGTTATCAGATCACAAGGCACAAGAACGCTAATTGCAGGGAGGATGAAAGTGTGTGATAAGATTCTTACTAACAGTAAAATAAACTAGGCAGCAAAAGTTCAAACCGCAGCTTTTCTTATAAATTTATACATTATAGTTTTCTTTAAACAAACGCCTACCAAATTTTGGGTAAACAAAGCTATTACGCTTTAACATTTAAACATCTGTAATTCTTTTATCAGGTTTATTAAACATGCAGAATGTGACACCTAAAACATCGAAATGCCTGCCGAATATACGTTCGCATAAATTATAATCACAGGAATTTTAAATACACGCATATTATGTTAAATAGATTGTAACATGTTTAAGAATTGCTTAAGAAAAGAACCTGCAGTAACTTGAACGGATAAAACCGCTGAATCCTAGTAGTTCGATCAGGGTTTGAATCCTACAGTTCCCTACATTGGCATTTTCATTGTATTGCTCAAGTGTAATGTGAATACGAGTTAGTTTCTTTCAAAAATTCCTCTGTAAAAGTTTCGTATTCATTGGGCTCATGTTCACCCTAGCTAACCTTAAGTTACATTCAGAATTGAGAATTGAAACACTATCAACTTTCATTTACAGAAAATTCGGCCAGTAACATAAAAAAGTCAGAGTTAATTATGCGTTCTTTCACAAGTGTCAACAACAATAAATCTTTCAACTTCTCACGGTTCTGATGAGCAATAGCCTGAGTCTTTTATTATTGTGTTTTTTAGTCTGTTCTGTTGTTCTTAGGATATTTCTTCAAGTATTCATCGAATTTGCTTTTCAGCGTGTAAAGTCCTTTACATTTTACAGGCTCATTTACGTTGTAAAAATTTAGTCAGTGCTTTTTGCTATAAAATTAGCTTTTACCAAGTTCATATTTGTCTCCAGCTAATTAATTATTATCGATACTAAGCAAAATTTCGTAAAAGATTTGCTGTAGTTGAAAGACTAAGCAAAGGGCAGTACGACATATTTTTTAGTTTTCACTTTGTTGATATTATTAACTTCAGTTACATTTAATATAACCCCAAGTTTATCAGCAGGCTCGTTGAACTCAGCCTAAATAATTGCGCTTTTAATTAGGTTTTTAAGCATATTTTTATATGTAATAATCTATCTATTTAAATTCATTTTTTATGACAGAATAAATGAAGCTTTAGCGATAATATATATTTACATTTCCAATATAGGATTTACACTGCTCTAGATATTTTTTGCTTACGGTTTGCGATCCTTTATTTTGTGAGAAGGTTGGTAAATGCTCATAGACACTCATTGACAGAAATTTATTTTGCGTGAATCAAAAAAAAAAAAAAAAAAGAATATAATTATTCGGGTAATATGTTTTAAAAGAAATAATTCAAGAAGTTTTTCTGTTATAGAATGTATGAAAAAAGATTTATTAAATGCATTATAGAGACATATTCTCCAAGCTTAATATCAAATATCTCAAAATTTCTAACTCTTCGAGAAAAAAATAACCAAATAAAGATCAGACGAATACTATTTTTTTTTTAATGAGACTGGTAAAAATGGGAGTAAAAAGGAAAGAGAAAATTAATCGAGCGTTTACTCCAATTTTTATCGGAACAGAGAGACGTAAAAAAGAGAAATTAGATTAAAACGAAAATGAAACTAACCTGAGTTACACGAGACCTCTCGAGTTCTATTACATCCAATGAGAGAGGAACAAAAATCTGGAAACCTTGCACTAAAGAGAGATAGAGCTGAAGACGTTTTCAGAGCTGACCTTACTTCTTATAGGCGGGTGACAGAGATGGTGGAGAGGGGGGTCAACCTCTAAAGGGGGCATAAAGTGAGGTCACCAAGTTCCCTAACCGTTAACGAAGTACGTGCGGGCTTGGGAATTAAAGTGGAATTCGTTTCCTCCGGTCAGGAAGTAAGTGATGGTGGTAGTGGCCCGTGAGAAGTGATGCGCATAGTGTGTTAGGTCAATCACTGACTGAGTCCATGGTTCATTTCATACAAGCGCTTGAATACAGAATCATCAACTCTTGCTGTTTACTTCGCTAGTTGTCTGAAGCGTGAAACAGACTGAAAGGAGCAACTGTCAGAAATTATAGGGTGCTGCATATATGCTTATATACAAATTTTTATTTTCCATGTAAGCTCATAAATGCTTCAAGTGAAACGTTTTTAACAGCTAGATAATACATCTCTGGTTAAAAGACGAAAAATAAGTCCTGCCACCTTTACCGCGGTTTCCTTATAACTTGCCTTAAGGCACATATTTTACTTACAATTTTAAATGTGGAAAGTTTCATACATTTTTTTAACGTATTTTTTTTTCCACTTATATTTCGTGCGATTTTGCAAGTTACCGAGTCTAATTCTGGAGACTTGTGTTCATGAATTTATAAGTTAACAAACAGTTGAGAGTTAAGGAAACACCTTATGTGTCAACAGACGTTTAACTGAAAATGCACTTTCTTATGATTGGCTCATCATTAATATTTACTGAAGAGGCAACAGACATAATAACTGCTCGAGGGGGATGGCTTGATAGACACTATTGTTTTGAATTTTTAAAGTTGGTTAATGATTGTTACGCGTGTGGTAACGAAAGAATTCGTAATAAAAAATTGTTCAGTCATAGAGATAACATATTTATGTTTTGTCCATTCGTAAAATAAACTGTTTTTAGATGCATTTTAATATCATAATTTCAATATAAATGGTGGTGCGAAAATCCTGAAACACGCCATAATGCAAACGTTAAAAGAGGTGAAGCCAACTCCAAGCATAATAAATGGCATATCATTTTAAACACAGTTTCGAAAGGAGTTCAAAACATTTCACAGATTTAAAATTTCAGCATTACTAAAAAACTGAAATAAACATGTCTGTTGTTGAGAACATAATTGGCTCACAGCAAGTAATACGTGTTTTTTATATCAGTCCCCTGCAATGTTCCTTAATTTCCTGTTTTCTTGGGTATAAGGAATGCAGGTTATGAGTGAAGTTAAGCGTCTGCTATGATGCAAGGACTTTGCTGTGTAAGTTTCATAATATGTGGCCTATAATACGAAAAAGAGAGTCGTAATATCTCGGGACATAACTCGACGATTAAGAGTATATAGTAGCTCTAATATGCAATAGGCGCAACAATGGAAGTAGAAAGACAATTACTGTGTAAAATATCATGTAAATTCTAATAAAATTATCCTTTACATGACGCGTTTTTCATTACGTTTAGATTTGCAATACTTTGTAGAGTTCCTCACTCTTTTTAGGCTAAAGTACATGTCGAGGGACCTAGTGAACTGTTAAGTAACTTATCGCTGAGTTCAAATAACTAAAGTCATGCACTCAAGAAGGGTTAACTACCTTTTATTTCACTCAAAATAAGATAAACAGTTGGCTTCTTTCTCGGGCTTACAACAAAGTCTCCACTTGGGCTTAAACTCAGAATAAGAAAGAAAGACTAAACTATAACTAACTAAAAGACCTAGTCGAAGCTAACATAAATATCTAACGTTAATTTTGCCCTTAATTTAAACGAGCCGGTGAATATCAAAATGCATGTAATATATGGCCGAGCGTAACAGCTTCAAGAGAGATTTAGCCCGAAAGCAAACATGCGCTACTCAGGATTCCTAGCTTTCTCTCACGAAATAAGTTGAACCTTCCTTAAATACTGCTTCTCTCTAATTTGCATTCAACGCGATTCTGAAAACTCATTCTGACAGCGAGTTGTAAGTGGAAACAAGAATTGATAGGAAAGTGACTTTAAAATTAAAATAACTGTTATAAAATTAAAATTTACCTTACGACTTTTTAAAATAGATTCACAAGCACAGAATTAACTTTTACATGAAATGTTAGAGGATTTCTTCTTTAAGCTGTAGGTTCTTATTAAAAAAAAAAAAAAAAAAAAAAAAAAAAAAACTACTTTTCCCATTGCAGCTGTAAAATCAAAAAGAGTCTTTACAAGAAAATGCTGAAATATATTGGTGCTATTCAATACAACTACTATTTTATGAAATCTCTTATATGAAGCATCGAAACTGAGATTAGACAAAAGTGGAAAACAAAGTCTAATTCCTCCTGAACATAATTTTTTTTTTTGACTGGATTGTTTGATTATGACAAAGCACAGAGCTATCTGCCTAAGCAGAAGGAAGTCTTTGTGGAGCACTTCCTATGGTAGACTAGCTTGTATTCATATTGCACATAGGAAAAACCCAAAAACATCCAAGCTATTAACCCGTTCGCATGGATTCGTACAGGGGGAAAACTACGGATTCCAGTGATTTTACCCACTCAGCCTCTGGCAGACTTTGTAATTTGTGAACACATGTTGTTAATTCCGTAAAAAGAACATATTTTATTTTACACACGCAATCACGTTGATTCTCATCCCTATCATCATTCTTACATATGTGTATACATATATACGCATGCATGCATATACTGTGTCATGCATGCATAGGTAATGATTTCGGAATTCCTTGATTTTGTACTGACGAAATATTGCATCAGTTCAACTTTCATGCAGTAAAAATGCTTTACTTGAAGTGCGAGAAAAACATTGGGTACAGTCATGGCACATGTAAATGTTATTTGTTTTTAAATATTTATTGCAAATATTACTAAGACAAACATAGGTGAAAAGATTTAATAGGCACTTATATTTTGCAGATGTCAATAAGCAATTATTTACAGAAATTAAGATTTAAAAATGGAGTATTCTTAACTGGAGGAACAGACTAATAATAATAAGAAATCACCTGGAGGAATATGTTTCAGTTATGCGCATTTGAGAGAAAGTTATGAGAGAGTTATGAGGTCATAAATGGAGCACCAGTAGCCTTGATTTTATTGATTTTAAAATTGAATTATTAAAGATTTTGCGTACAGTTATTATAATCGTTAATGTTATTATAATCGTCAATTTCTTCTAATAAAAGCTACAAATTTCACTACTGACTACTAACATTATGTGACAAATTAAAAAGATCAGGCAGCACACAGTTGCGGAAATACGAAAAATGTAAACTGACTAAACTTTATTAGTGAAACTAAAATATAATGCCACAATGTATGTATGTTCACTTAGATTGAAAAAAAAAAAAAAAAGAAACAGAGACAGTTGACCAGGGCCAGCATTAGGGTTTTTGCCCCCTCGTGCAATCTGTGTAACTCTCAAATTTTTGGTCCTATAAAAAGAATGTCTCGAAAAACTTTGGCCTCTCCTAAATTCCGTCGCTCCGAGGTTCGAATCCCGCGAACGGGCTGGCTGCATGGGCGTTTTCGTGGTGTTTCCCATGTGTAACTTGTATACGAGCCAGTTTCCCTTAGAAAGTCCTTCACGAAGGCATCCCTCCCTTTAAGTTAATGTCACACCACTTAGACGAATGACCTGTGTTATACTTTCTAAATAAACTTATTATTGAAAAAAAACTCAAAATTTAAGAATTTCTCATATGTGCTTGCTTGTCTACATGTTACGCAATTTATAAAATAATTAATAATTATTTATAATTATTTAACTACATTTTTACTCAATGCATCAAAGAAAAATTTGATAAATAAAAGAGCGATTAATAATTATTCATTGTTTGTCAATATTTATTTTTCAGTTTTGTCTCACTCAGAAAATTTCGCAATTTTATAAATTTTTTTAGTGGTTAATTTAACATATTAGAATTATTTTAAATAAATATCTTTCTAAACATTTTAATATTTAGCTATCAATACGTTTAAATTACAAAGTGTAACTAACAGAAGTTTCTTGCAGGTACCAATCTTTATATTTCAGACAGAAAATAAATATAAAATGAGATTTTTAGCCCAAAAGGAGTTAGCCCTGAAGGACTATCAATTTCGTTTTGGCATTTTGCGGCGTTTCACTATAAGTGGTGTTTCGCTTTGGAAACTGTTGCCACCAAATATTAGAGCTCTATATTACATTTAAAGAAATTAAATAATGAAGAATCTGCATGAACGCATATTTCTCGCACGGTGAAAAAACAACTGTACATCAAATTGTGAATAATGTAGTTCTCCAGTCAAAAAAGGGCATCTAAAAGTCGAAATTTGCAATTTGTTTTATTACCTATTTCATATTGTGTAAAACTTTTTTAAACTAATTTTTGATTATAAAACTCAAGGATTTCAAAGCGAGTAATGGCAATACTGCACGGACCCCACCCCTTCCCCCCACAAAAATTTTTTTTTTTATCTCCAGCGCGTGAGACAGTGTATCGAAAATTCTAACATGCTCTTTTTAAATTATTTTATGATATTGCTGTTGAATTGAATTTTATGGTTTAAGTGCGAAGAACATGATATTTAATAAATAAGCGAAAACGTTAACAGTAACACACAAAACGTTAAAAAGCTGCTTTGGGCGTAATATAAAATCTGAAAACTTTCAGTTTTTTTCCCTTTTGTGTCATTATGATTATTGTTTATATATGTTAGGATAAATATTTAGCAAATAGAATTTAAAATTTAATTAAAGAAAATTTGCTTTGTTTAAAAATAATCTTTTCATTTTGATTAAAAAAAATCTTCCTATCATCAGCTTTGAGATGGTGCATTCTGCCTTCGTACAGTTTGAACTGGAGATCACTGATTTCTGTAGTATTAGTACTAAACGCTTCTTATAAATACATTTATCTTAAATACAAAAGGAAAAATATGATTTTATAAATAAAATTTTGGAATTCAGTTATTTTTTTTAATTAGTTTTACAGTTCGTACAACATGAATTCGCATACCACAACAGGTTTTAGGAACTAACTGTGTTATACTGGAGTTACTTGTTTTCAG